CTTGTTGGCATTCTTGGCCACCCATTTCTCACAAGATTTCTTTTTCTTGTTCTTGAAACGAAAGTCTTCGTCGTCAACACAACCAGAGGTAGTGGAAGAGGTGGTGGCCGAGGTGGGGGCCTGAGTTGGGGTTGCGCCCCGGGTGGGGGCCGAAGTTGGGGTTGCCTGAGTTGGGGTTGCGCCCCGGGTGGGGGCCTGAGTTGGTGGGCTTGGGACGTTGTTATCAAACCCTTTATAGTGGCCATCAGTCATCACTTCCGGTAGCCACGCGTGACCTTCCGATGTAGTATCCGACACCATTGCATAGAGTGCGGGGGAACCGGTTTCAAGAGAAACTGCGTTAGTGACACCCTTTGGATAGACCTCCATGAAGTTGTCGGGGGTTCCCATTAACCATTCGTTGCTGATACTTTCGGTACGTTCCGAGGTATATAAACCACCAACATAGGTTATGGAAGCCCAATAGGTGCCTTCGATCACAAGGCACGACTCATCGCATGTTTCATCGTTGTAGGCATATGTCCCAGAGCATCCATTGGTGGATGGATCAATCCAGTTTTTTTCATAGCCCCAACCACAGTTTCCGTTGGCCTCTTTGAGCAATGCACCCACCTCGCTTTCAAAAGTTGTAGCCCATTTTGAAGGATAGAGAATCGTGGCTGCCACGTTGATGAGGTGGTGAATCTCCTCAAATGCTTCACATCGTCCGCTCTGACAATTCATCTCAGAGGTATCAACAGAACGGGGCCAAGTCGARCGGTCTGTTGGAGATGCACCTCGATTGATTGGAAAATCGCAAGAATCTGGGAAAGTTTTCGAAGTTTGTACAGGTTGAGATGCTTTCATTTCAATATTGAAATCATTGAAGAAAGAATCTAACTCTGAATTGTCTCTAGTAATTAGTAACAAATAGTTCCCGTTTACCATCTCAGAGAGGATTTTTGGATCGTCTGGTTGACCATCGGCGTTGTTATCTATAAGTTGGTAGAAAACGTGAACTATGTGGTCGCGCTTGACCTGTTCTGGCCATGCTTTCTCCGTGATACAAACTGGAATACCAAACACAACAGTCACCTTTTCACAACCGTTCCAGTTCAAATTCGGGGGGTCGCTCCAAACAACCCCATTGTCTCTCCACCCGACGTATCCATCGAGTAGAGGAGGGCGAGCCTCGCAAGGGTTCTGACCAACATCAGACCAGCATTGCTCCCCATCCCAAAAACAGCATCCTACATCATTGCATTCATTAACATCAAATCCTTTGTTCTCACAGGCTTCTTCACCATTTGGTTGAGCTTCTGATGGAAGCATCCACGCGAGGGACAACAATAAAGCGCTAACTAATTGAAATACCTTCATGCTCAGTCTCTTGTTCKGTCTTTTGCTAGTCCGAAATCAAATATTGGTTTGTGATAGTTATCCGATGMGAAGGCRAATGAAGATACATTTCATGAGAAAAATGTTTTTTCACGTCTATGGCTATTCAAAGGATCTTACGCACTTGAACCGAAAAATAGATGGAACTTCACATGTTTCTGCAGGAATGCATTTGGTTGCGGCCGATTCAGAGAACCCACCAGCGAATGACTCCCTTAAGTCTCAGTCCTTGCAGAATGACTCCTCCAATGACCTCCTTMAGTGCACTATGCCAGATGAAGACATGCCCCCTTTTGAGAACCCAGTGGAACTCAGGGGTCATAATTTAGAGGGGTGTGCAACGCGCACGATTTTCAGCATCAGGATGAAAAAAATTCCATTCCAT